TTGTGCAGATGAACTTGCATCTTCATTGCTCTGAGCACGAGAATTCTGTCTGATAAGAGCACAAATCTGTGTAACCATTTGAAGTCGACGACTTCCTCTATAGAATTTTGGATGTTTTCGAGTAGTTTATGTTAGCTTGGTGTGGTTTCACAGTGTAATACATTTAAAACAAATTGAGAAGTAGTTAGTTATCGTTGCAAAACATGATAATTCCATTGTATTGTTTGTTGATTAGTTTACTATAAAATATATATATTTTTTTTGAATAAGTATCTAACTATCTATTAAAAGTATATTAAGGTATGAACTGTGAGCGAATATGTGTCCACTTTAACATGCAGGAATGTGTGTAATTGTCTTGTATTTGGCACCGTCGGGCTTTGAGTTCTGCGCTCTTCTACACGCTTAATGCTATACGCTATACGGGCTATACGGGCTACACGCTACATAGAACACTGAACATTTAGTAAGTACACTAAATTTTAGTGTGTTCGTTACTATATAAAGCGCAGCGGTTGAGTGTATGTTTGTCGGTAAGTTGGTGTTTGTTTTAAGTTGCTTGCTTGATTGTTTTGTATCTTATGTGAAATTCGTGTTTATACCCCTGTTTATACAAACATACGCATGTAAGATACATTCGCACACATACCGACGTTTCTAGATATCTGTATTCGCTTTAATCTCGCAAACAAATGAACGAACCTGCAAGTGTACGGCTCGTGACATTCACAGCGAAGTGAAGTGTTTGCTGTATTTAGTTCTGGTGTAACAATTCATGTTCATATGTAATCATTAACTTTGTCTTTGTGGAATTGTTGCGTGTGATATTCCTATTTTGTGTATGAATATGGAATCGATGAAACACACTTTCATGCTAAAATTTTGTGTGTGAAAATCATAATAGGTCCACAGAAACCATAGGCGGTGGTGTATGCATATTCCAAATCTAAGAACCGAGTCATGTTTGGTGCCTGCGATTGTGAATGTAATTTGAGAAAGTGGATGAAACATTCATAAAACACACAATTATAATAATAATAATAAAAAATATATATATATAAATGGAGGGGTATACCTATCAGCTGGCCATGTGAACACATTCATATCACGTATCTAATCCACTGTGTACGTAGCAAAACCATCAACTGTCTTCCCCTATTTCAAAATGTGAAGTTTTATCTCACACAGTTAGTTTTGGTTGCATTTTCTCATCTTTTACTATTAAATTTTTTCAGTTTCTTATCAGTATAAAAAATAATATAAATAATATTCTTTAAATATGTTTTCTAAAGCAAATTCAATGTTATTATTATTAAATTCAGTATCTTATGGAAACATATAACAGAAAAGTTACAAATAATTAATTAACATAAAACAATGGTCTAGCTTGGGGATTGGGACAATAGGATGATACCCGTTGAATTTATAATCGACAGATAATACCAAATAATACATTGTGACCGAAAAGTTTCCGGTCACAATGTACAAACGCAAAATTCTTAATCTTCATCAATATTTATTTTATCTCCTTCAAAATATGCTCCATTAGAAGCGATACACAAATGCCAACGTTTCTTCCAATCATCAAAACATTTTTTATAGGCGCTTTCCGGTATTGCTTTGAGTTCCCTCTGCGAATTCTGTTTTACGTCTTCTATGGATTCAAAACGCGTTCCTCTGAGTGGTAATTTGAGTTTGGGAAACAGGAAAAATTCACACGGTGCAAGATCAGGTGAATACGGTGGCTGTTCGATGGTATTTATTGAATGTTTGGCCTTAAAATCGTTGATAATGTTGGCTCGGTGCGAGGGAGCATTATCGTCATGAAAAATCCATGAATTATCCTTCCACAATTGAGGCCGTTTACGGCGGATAGCTCTCACGACCGATGCCTAGCTCTCGTGCTATCTCTCTAACACTCACATGAGGATTTTGGAACACGATTTCCTTTGCCTTTTCAATGTTTTCGTCGGTGGTAGAGGCCGAAGGTCGTCCAGAACGCGGCATGTCTTCGACGGTCGTACGACCGTCCTGAAAGGCTTTGTACCACTCATAAACTTGAGTTTTCGATAAAACTGATTACCCATAAGCCTTTTGTAGCATTCGCAACGATTCTGCACACGAAATTTCGTTCGAAACACAAAATTTGATGCAAACTCTTTGTTCAATATTTTTTTCCATTGTTTTTTCGCAACGCACTACTGAGGGGAACTGGTTTCAACAGCTGCCGTAAAACCGAACTGTCTGAACAGATCAGCGCTCATTTCTTTGCATAGTAAATAATGGAAGATGCTGCCAAACTACCCATAAACTAAAATATCGAAAAATATACAGCGCGCGAATTTTAAATGAGAACTTCCGAAAACCTTTCGGTCACAATGTATTATTCGAATACTCGAAACAGCTGGGATAATAGAATGATACTCCTTGAATATATAATCGGCAGATAATACCAGATAATATTACTCGAATACTCGAAACAGCTGGGATAATAGGATGATACCCTTTGAATATATAATCGGCAGATAATACCAAATAATATTACTCGAATACTCTAAACAGCTGGGATAGTAGGATGATACCCCTTGAATACATAACCGGCAGATAATACCAAATAATATTACTCGAATACTCTAAACAGCTGGGATAGTAGGATGATACCCCTTGAATACATAACCGGCAGATAATACCAAATAATATTACTCGAATACTCGAATACTCGAAACAGCTGTATCGTCAGCCAAAAATTGGATTAATTAAAATAATTAAAAAACGTTTGTTGTTGTAGTTCACTACTGTTCGAAACCTTTCTATTAAATTCAATAGTTTCTATTAAGTAAAATAGTCACTGCCATTATAATTGACGTTAAAATGCAAATTAAATAATAATGAAACTACTTCTTAATATATTGATCCCATGACACAATCCAGACTACGCCACTGACACAAAATGTATAAATATGTTAACAGCAATATATATATTAAATAAACAGAAGTCATTCCATGCAAATCAGTCTGCACATATTTAAATAAGAAGGTGTTACTCGGATATTAAAGATATAATTGACAGTCTGCTCCAGATGGCTATGTGAACAGTTTGGTTTACTTCTTCGACCCCATTTTATAATTGTTATGTTGGTTTTAACTATGACATGATAAAATTGATTAAATGAACAGGAAGAATATAGAGTTCGATCTTCCAGAATTAGGCGATGTAGTAGTATACAACACTGAGTTAATTTGAATTACATGTTTTTCTGGCTAGGATACAGATAGTGGCATATAGAAGAGTAACTAAAATAATTTGGAATTTTTTCGTTTAAAAAATTAAAAAATATTAACAGTAAATATACATATAAAAAATACAAAAAATAAGAAAATATGTGACAATACAGAATTTGACAATACAGATTATGACAATACAGTTAGTTTTTAAAAGTCCCCCTTAAACAAGGATCTCTATACGACTCTCGATAAAGGAAATGTTTGTGATTTTAGACTGACTTCTAATGGCTTGGCTAAATTCGGCATTTAATCATTGACAGTGACTTTATTGTACCTAAACTAGTTACCACATTTATACATAATTAAATAAAAAACTTCAGATACAGCGTAATTTTTATCATATGGAAAACAGAAAGGCAATTTTCTGAAATTTGAAACGATACTTTAAAGGATATTTTATATTAAAAAGGAATAATGCGAATCAGTTAATAATACTTATATATAAAATAGCTAAAAGAAAGCAATTGAGAATTATAATTATTATTTCATATTAAATAGATCATGAAACAATAATCATAAAATTTATAAGTGAAATATTTAAAAAACAATCTATTAAAAATAACAATATATTATGTTTAAATTTAATTATTTTCTATTATTTAAAAATTCTTTATAGTATATTTAATATCACTATATTCAAAGATTATATATAACCAGTATCCAACCAGTTACCAAATTTATGTAATATTTTGCGGTTATAAAGATGGAAAGTGTTTTTTATAAAGATGGAAAATAATTGACTATATATGTGGGGTTTATTTAAGCATGAGCAGGAGTTAAAAAATTGCTATTTTTGTCGATAAACATAGATTCAAGAATATAATACTATATTTAAACTATCGTACTAAATTAATTTTCGGGCCTATTTTAATGACTATAGAGTTTATGCAAATTTGTCAGAAATCCATACAAGGATGTGCGCTTATTTTTCGGCATATTTTAATGGCTATAGAGTTTATGCAAATTTATCCTAGATCAATAAAACGATGTGCGGGATAAGCAAGTTTTTGTTATTTAAGTCTGTTGATTACCATACAACGCTGTTTCGACTATTTCCAAGTACTCATCATCAGTGATTTAAGGGAATATTCGAATTTTTATTTAATTAGTTTATAGTCCGTACATAAACAAATTTTTGTTGTTGTTGTTTCTTCATTACTGTTCGAACTCTTCTAAATAAATTTTATATTTTACATATTTTCTTTAATTTTTGTGTTAAATAAAATAATTACAATTCTCATCGTCTTTATATTTTGTTTATTATATAATAATCAGTGCTGCAGTTACACAAAGTGTGATGAGATTTTAATATAAATACGGATACTAATGTTGTGTCTAGGCCTTCTTCTTGGTCTTGCATTTAATTACAAATGTTTTTATTGGCAATTTTAGCTTAAAAAAGTTTAGAAAAATGAAAAAGAAAATATCATTGATTTATAAAGAAATACTTTGTAGTGGCAGGAAGCTTTAGCCAGCCAAAGCCAAAGCCAACTTTTTTCATTTGCAAAAGCATTGCGGGTAGGGTATTTGCGATTCGATGAAACCAAAGCTTATCTAATATATTGTTTGTTTTTATATTAAAATAGTGTTCGAAAACTATAAATGGGCACATT